CACCGGTGGTCAAACACGGCCAAGCGTTTAATGAGCATTACGAACTGGCCACGTCTCCCATCCCTAGAGTAACCAAGGTCTTATCGTAGTGTTATGCACCCTACCTCTCACTGACAAACTGATATCCTGCCGTCTCCATTGATAGTTGAACCTCTGGAAAGCCACACGGACCTTGCTGATACGTGAAATAACTTCCTCAGTGATGTGACCACAAGATGTGACACAGCTACAAAGTTATGTGAACCAATCCATAAATTCCAGTGGCTGTTTGGAAATAGCTGAAACCGCAGGTGAGTCGACCGAGTCCTACAACAGCACTTTGCATTTTGAAAATGCATGCGGAAACTTGCAGCGCTACGCACATGTCTATGCAGTAGTGTTTGCAGTTAACTGATCAGATGCGAAAAGAACCATGTCGTCCGCATACTCTAGCTTTGTCAGTCAGTCCCGGATAGTCTGGAAGAACCGAGTCATTCATGATCATTTCGATCACAAAGTTGAAGAGGAAAGGTATAGGACAACCCTGGCGAGCCCCACTTGTGATAGGCAACTCAGGAGAGTTTCCCGTAAACCCTTACATGGCCTCAGAAGTCACGGTAGGGGAACTTCAGAATACAAGGGACTTTAGCTGGGACGCCCTTCATAGATAAGTAGTGTCACGAGCTGGCGCGGTCAACCGTTTAAGACGGCTTTCAAGTCAAGGAAAGCCATCATAGTCGATTGTTTGTATGTGCCTCTGCTGTAAAACTTGGCGAAGAGTAAACACGTGGTGGAGGCAACCACGGCCAGGGCGGGAGCCATTCTGGCTTTCAGCGCAGTAAATCGTGGAAGTTTTGAGACAACAGAAATAAGGCTAATGCCGTGATGATTTTCGCACACAGTACGATGACCCTTCTAGAAAATAGGCACCGCACTTGATATTTGCCAGTCGTAAACCGTGTTAAAAGGAGAAATGTTACCGCCATCGTGTAGCAAAGATGGGCGTAGGTCGTCGGGTCCCGGAGCCTTGATTCATTTTAACACGGCGAACTCATGTCAAATCTCTTCCAAACCAGGATGTGTGATATCTGCTACTCACATCGGCTCAGGCGATTCAACAAGTGGCAGTGTCACAGCAGGCCAGCTGAACTGCTTCTGAAAATGTTCCGCCCAACGGACTAGTCGACAGTTCTGAGAATAGATCATCTGTTCATCTTTCTCAGCTGTCGTCTCCTTAACTGATGGCTTTCTTGACCCCGTGTTCCTGATGAGCTGAAATATCATTCGGCTGTTTCAATAGCACTGGCTGTCTCCATCTCACGGGCCTTTGCAACCCACCAACGTTCCCGGTCAACTTGAAGATTCCTTGCGATGCGTCGTTTTAGTTACGGAGCGGCCGAAACTCAGTGCCCATCGGAACCGGTTTACGCGCTTCGATCAAACTGATCGTTGCTTCGGAGATCCATTCACAGTTTCGAAGTCGCATGTCGGCATATTTGCGACGATCCCAGTGAGCGTTCGGCCCACCAACCTGCATCATCATTGACAATTGGTGGGCCAGTTCGTTATGATGTTGTTGAACCGCAGACTGCGAGTTCAAGTTATAGGTAAGAAGATTAGAAAATAAGCGGTTCTTTGAAGCTGGAAGAGTGAGTGCCAATCGCGCGCCCTGGAGCATGGTCAGAATTCAGGCGTGTGCTCTACATTGACCAACAGCCTTGCTCTGATATGCGTCATCTGTACCTGATGGCAATATGGTCACTTTGGGTCCAGGCCATTGAGGAATTCGGTAGGCGCCAGGGGAGGCGGAGTGAACGTTTGTGTTGGAAATCAGTGCTGCTAACATAAAGTTTGTGGTCGGCGCACAGTTTCGGGAATTGATCACCATTGTCTGTTCGGCGTGCATCGACTCTGAAGCGTCCTCCTTCCCTCCTTCAGAGTCTGAAAAACTACCCACTTGAGCATTCAATTCACAGCAACAATCACGATGTTTGTATCCTTCGCCATGCGAAGGTGAGATGAGAGCTATCGATAGAAATAGTCTTTAATACCATATTAAATGCATACAGTAGGAGCACAAACTGAGTCTATTAAAAGGCACCTTTCCTTCAGACGCAGCTTATCAACTGTAATAGTGGTTCGAATTCGAACCGCACACATGCTGCTTTCCACCGGCATTTACTCGAGTAGACTGCTTTCAGAATGTTTGCTGAGGGTGATACCAACACCGTAAATATCTTGAGCCGTTGAATCAGTATCGCCATAGACGCGAATATATTCATTGGCGGAACATTCAGAACCAGAGAGTCGAGGATTTGTCACGACGCTGTTATCTTGCTTACGTATTTCGGAGACAGAGCACACACTAATACTAAGAGAGTGAAGAGGGCGTTAGTGCTGCCTACTGGCTGATCTCACCTAGTGCGTGAATGTTAATAGAACCAAAGATGGAACAGTTACATATGTCGATGGCAGAGGAAGCGAGGTCAGCGGCAATCTCTTCTCAATAGATGGGGTAGGTGAGATGGAAGAGGAGAGAAAAGGAGAAGGAATATTGTCGATGTGGTCGAGAGGGCAAATGGTGCTCTCCGGCTGCCCATTCCTAGTGAGAGGTTTTGTTCGTGGTGCCCTAACTCTAGCCTTTGACTCAACAGTCTGGCTCACAAGTCAGTAGGGGATTTTGATGTTTGCTTGAGGGACACCATCTGGCGTCTTTGGCTCAATAACCTGACGCACAAGGCACTGGGGAGCAAATCTAGCTCAGGAGTGTGATTGCAGCAGCCCACTGGGATCCGCTCGAAGCCTGTCACGCACAGCCTTTGAATATCTTGAACAATTCACATGTGTTTTCCGGTCGTATTACGTTACGCATCTGCGACCAAGACCAACCTCAGGTGGGAGTTGGCGGGTTTGTACAAATTTGACCAAGGGCTGCCTGGCTTCAAGCGGGTGGTAGCAAACCATTGAGCACTGAATGGTGACCTTCCCAACCGTCAGAGACAATGCGTGACGCTCGTACTCTACGCCAATCGAGCGGTGAGCCTATAACCTGTAGACTTGTTGTCTTCCACAGCTAGGTTTTTAACGAAGTGAACTACTGGCCACTGTCTAACCTCCGAACAAGATTGGATTGTGAGACTGAGTTAGTCTGACTCCTACTCATTGACCTGTCTTTTATGATTGGCTGTGAAGGTATTTTGAAAGTGACACTCAGCATATCTCAATGAGTCCCGTCAGTACGCAAATAATAACATAATAAAAATAATTTATCAGCTGCAGGCCGTAACGGCGCTTCGCTGCCGTGCCCCCAACACCAGTCGCACGCGGGCTTTATACCGCGAGGACGCCCGCGCCGCAAGAGTACGAAACAAGCTCGTTGCCTTTATACTGCGGGGGTACGCAATCCATCGCACCACCCAAAAGATGGCAGTTACTGGAGTGCGACGAACTGACATTGCGGCACAATAGCGGAGGTGTTTTCTCACCTTCTAGCTGACGTGTATAATGATGATGATGATGACATCCGGGTTATTTTAACGTCGCCATAACAGAGTCAGTACACCTCCTATATCCACCGTCATAACAGTTTCATAGCAATTTTATTTCGAACTGTTACGTCGCTAGCTTGTTGTGGCAGCTGACTTCAGTCCTTTAAAGCGCCGATATGTCTGCGTTTTTCATCGGCAAGTCCTTCCAGATAAATTACTGTTATCACGATTAAGTTATGAATAAAGACACTCGTTATTATCTCAAAATCGGTCTCCGTGGCTTTTCTCCACAACATCATCATTATACACGATAACTAGAGGTTTGAAACACCTCAGCTATTGCGCCGCAATATATAAAAGAAAAGGAATAGAAATACAGCAGTTGCATGCCAGCTGAGCTACCAGCAACGTATAGACATCGTTCCCGAAAGCTACCAGTCGGCTACTAGGCAACAATAAAAATTATGATGTAAAATTATATCACGCTACAAAATGAGATCATGATTGGAGGGGGAGGCTAAAAGGATGGAGAGGGACAAAGAAACTCACAGCAGGAACGCCACTGAGGTCGGCTCCTAGCCATGTCAGCAAGTGTATCTAGCCAAACGTGTTCATCGTGTTTTGGATCCCAACCAGGGAGCCGAGAAGCTCCAACCTAGGCCATCTCCGAAGTGAGGGCCTTCATTCCTCCCTACCAAGTCATCGCTTGGCCACCCCTCCTTTTCTTCCATCCACACCCCCGGTGAGCAAACAACGCACGTTGTGGAAGTCGGTGGGCTGGCATGTATAACACGTGGCCGAGCCATCGGAGCCTGGTTCGTGAAATGACGGTGCTGAGCGATTCAGTTCTTTTTCCTGTGCCATAAACAAGGCGTCGAACACGCTCGTTGCTCATGCGGTGTTCCCACCAGATGTGAGCCTTTCTGCTAGTACATTGAAGATCATTCTAATCTTTCTTCACGATGGCCAGGTGGGCCTCATAGTCGAATTGAATTAATTGCTTCACGCACTTTAAATGAATGTGATGAATATAAAATTCAAACTCTATATGTTATGCATAACCGCGTTTAAGCATGGTCGGAGTACTGATAGGTGATCTATATCAGCGGACAACCATGGAACCGCCTTCGTAATCTTTCGCTCACGATCGTTTTGTTATTTTGAGTACTGTGCGTCGTGTCACTTTGGAATCCTAGGTTTGGGGACTAGGCACCATGGCTGGAATGCAATTCAGTTTTTGACGATTGATTAATGCACGGTCATTGAAATTGATCACATTACGTGCCCGTTCACATATCATCCGCTGCATGACTGAATAAATGAAGATTTGCTTGAGAAAATCCACCCGTAGCCTTTGACAGCGGCCTGACTCAAACGGAAGAGAATGTGCAGTCCCAGCTACAGAGGGCTTCGCGGTGAGCAATACTCATATCTTGTGCAAGAGCCTCGCATTATTTTCGCCACACACATTTACTGTTTGGTGCGTTGCTCTCGCATCTGTTATTCCTTCCATGTTCTTTTTTCGTCCGTTAGCTAATGAATCTGGGGGCACCTTGCTGACATCTGTGAGACCTTTAACATCCATGGATGTTGGAACACAGGGTTCACCGGCGGTCCGTTCCAATACATCACCTGAGGCGTCACATGATCTTACTTATCCCCAATCGAACATGGCTTCATTATCAGAAGTTCTCGTTGAAGTACGCGACACAGGAGATCACGATACCGATTCCTCAACTGTGAATCAAACCGCTGATGACAGTGAGGAAAGTGCAACTGAATGTTCTGTGGAAAATGAGCTCGGTGTGGATCCATTTCTACAGAGTTTCTTGCCTCCCCCGAAGACCCTGATACTGGCAGACAACCCGTTGATGCACCTACCGCCACAAGTAGGCACCCTTTCCCCCTTTTGGTCGCCTTGATACTATTTAGATTGTGTGCCTCTTTCTGTTTGTAGGGTTCCTTCCTGACATCATCTCGACTCAGTCTTTGCATATAGCATAGCTTCGCTCACCACTTTTCTTGTCATTGTGTTTGTTCACACTGCAGTTTACGAAGTATTCTCGTTTTAGTACACTTCCTAGCACTACCTACTATTCGTCTAAGTGTCTTCAGACACATCTGTGGCAACTTGTTCTCTCCGTTTGGACATCAGACCAGTGTTCCATAGCTTACACTAACTTCAATGCTTTAGTGTTCGATGTACTTTGTGGATTTGGCTCTCTAAACTGCAATGCGTCGACCACTTCACGTTGCCTCTCTCCCTTCGCACAGAGTTAATCTGCATTTTTGCGGTCTTTTCATGGCCACCTACTGTCCGGGCGTGATTATTCGGATCGTTGGAAATGGATGAACATTTTCAACCCGGGCTACACATGCTTTACACATGATCTGGAATCGCCCCCTGTTATTTGCCTTAGCATTTCCTTCAGTTATTGCATGTCAGCGTTCCGTTTGCACTAAAATGTAGCAGCCTATCAGTTTCCTGTGTTGTCTGTTGGCGCGATCCGACAATCACCTTACCTAGAAAATTCAAATTGTCGCTAATGAGCCGTTTGTCCCGTTGTTTCAAAGGGCCCAGTTTTCCGAATGCGCTCTTGATTCGATATCTCACCACCCAGGTCAAAATACGACCCCATTGGTCATTATTTTGGCGGTAAGTAAACGCCACAGGGTCTCTTGTAATGGCAGGATGTCTACTAACCTTTTCTTCACTCTTCTTGGTTGGAACAGTTGTTGCAATGCTTTAACTATGCGTACATTTCTCCCCACGGTGTTACCCGCCAAATACCCATGTCCTGATCGCCTATTGCAGAATAGGTGAGATCAAAATGGTGCTACATTTGAACTTCGACACAATCGTATCTACGACTGGCACTCTTTTTATGCAACTTACCTCGTTTAGCTGTCTCACTCATTCATGTCAATGCTGTGAGAGACGCTTATTATTGTGTCCACTGGGATGGGTCACATCCAACTCGGATTGTTGAGCTGACGCACGATCGTTCCAGCATCACTTGTTCAGCATCCTATGAAATAGCTTACGCTAACGATAGGTAGGCAATGAGAACGCTGTAGAGACCTTCTCAAGTGGGTGGTTCTTGTCTTCCCGCAAATTTTTGACCCTTTCCCCTCCCGATGGCGATGATTATTTCACCATGACTATTGTAGATGCGCCTTATCGAATTCCTACCCATTTGTGGCCTGGAGAACGACAGGATGTAATTTTGTGACGCAAATGTGGCAAGCTCCGCTGTTCTGCCAGTAACTCCCCGTCATTTTCGCTTTATGCATGTGATAAAAAACCAGCGCTCGCGATGGGATCCAATAACACGATTCTGGAATTCTAAACGTGCGCCATCGGATTCTCTGCTGATTACTCGCGCATTTCGCTCATTCACTGCCGTTCGCGTGACTTTCAATCACAGACGTAGTTTACCTGTCTATTACACCCATTGTAGATTACATTTCATTTGGAAGTCTGTTTTGGCACTTCAGTCGGCCAAAATCAGTCATGTTTCTGCTTGAACCAACTGGTGCAGTTAGCCTGCACTTTTTTCCGTTTATGTGCGCTTGACGAGCTTGCGTTTCTTGCCGCTGCTTATTTCATGCTCGCACTGTGACAGATGAGATGTACGTTCTGCTTCAGGCAGCTAGTCAAATGCTCGCAGAAGTGGAAGACGCCGTAATGGAAGAGGACACGGAACTGGTGTCTTCAGTTCCTGCGGAAGCCGAGTTGTATGATCCCGCCACTCTTGGTTTGGAGGATACAGACTCTTCTCCGTCTTTAGACGATGAGTTTGAGAACTCCACTATATATGGATCCAATGAGGTCGGTGACAATGGAATCCAACGGTCACAGGGACAACGGACTGTTTTCACACATCGACTTGGAAAGTATACCAATCCAATGGCAAGTTAGTGTTTACAGATATCACGGTTGTGCCCATACACAGCCTAATCGGTTCCACACCACCGTCTTGGGGTCACTTATATACCGTCAGCCGTTTTATGTGCAGATTTTCGACGGAGTTTATTCTACTTTAACTCATGTGTATCGTGTTTTTAATCATATTATATTCTTCAATCTCGAAACGTACGGTCCACCTTCCTTGGCGTGTTTCTGTGTTCCAGTCATTTTGTTTTACAACCGGATGCGAAGTTTAAAGCACTGAGTTCCTTATTAATATACATAAGACTTGTACTGCACAATGAAGCCATTTCATGTTAGCTAATCACCCGCAAAGTAACAACATAAATACGAGTCATGTGATAGAAAAAATCAAACGTTTGAAGATGGTCACAAAGGTAAATTACGTAGATGCAAGAACAATGTGCTTGACCCCAAAGGTCATGAGCCCCAATGAAGCTTTAGTGTGATTGTTAATTGTTTCTGCACGCAAAGAATAGGGCGACGCCGATTAAGCGCCACATCTTCATTTCGATAGGTAACTGTAAACGTTGACCCAGGAGCAACCGGATGGCCTGTTTCGGTTAGATGTCTGGCAATGGATGGTGTCTTGTAGCCTGAATACCCTTTTTTGTTTGGCTGCTTTCTGTGTCGATAACGTAGCAACCCGCATTGGGATATGCTCTCCAATCCGCTTACTCAAACATCGATCTGTTTTGCCAATGTAACTACTTGTGCAGCTACAAACGAATCGGTAAATACAATAGGTTGTGGCGGAGATCGGTTGAGTAGGCTTCTTTGGAGGCATCGGCAGCTTTCTGGTCTCCTAAATGGGGCAGTTTGGTGGCATTGAATGTCTGGCGAATCGCTGTGTGCATACTTCGTTCAAGTTGTGCGGTCACATCACCTTCGAAAGGTAATTAGAGGTAGACAGAGAGTTTGAACACAGTAAGTACCCTCGGTCTGTTCACTGTGAAATCGAATAAATCTCTCCGGACGTCCATTGGCCCGTAATGCCTGTGTGCTGAACAGCAATTTCGACTTTAAACAGTCGTCAGTGTATATTCTGCCAGCTCGACTAAACAGCGTCTTGACTAAGCACCGCTTGTATTGGATAGGGGCGAAGCTGTTGCACTTTCCGTAGTCTTATCCATATAGCTTTCCTGTTAACAGATCGCTTCTCGTCCGGTCACCAACACAACAAAAAAGAAGGCGATTATGGTCCTCCATTTCGCAGGTGAGACGAGCGTTTGGATGTGCGTTATCGAGCACATTAAGAAGAGACAGAGCAGCGTCTGCACTTGGGGGAATCACGTGTGTCATCGACGTATCGCCTGTATAAGCACATTTGGTTGATGTACGGCTCTTATCTCAATTGAGCCATTGTCATGAAGATGTCAACCAGTACCGGGCCAAGCGGAATTCCCATGGCTACAGCTGTTGGTACGGTTTGTCCTCAAATAAGAAATGCACATTTTCCGTGCATTATAGTAGCAAATCCCTGGAAAATTCCATTGCCAGACATCTAATCTAAACAGGCCATCCGGTTGACCCTGGTTCAATGTTTACAGTTCTCTATCGAAACGAAAACCTCAGTATTGTGGTTTGCTGAAGCTGTGGTGCTTAATCGGCGTCGCCCTATTCTTTGTGTGTGTGTCTCCCTAAAGCTTCATTGGGGCTCACGACCTTTGGGGTCAGGCACGTTGTTCTTGCGTCTACGTACTTTCCCTTTGTAAGCATCTTCAAACCTTTGATTTTTCTGTCACATGATCCGTATTTATGTCATTAGTTTGCGGGTGATCAGATAACACGAAGTGGTTGCATCTCGCAGTACAATTCTTCACATTATCTTACTTAGACGGATGTGAACTATTTCTTTGTTTATGGTGCTGCCGGTGAAGTAAACCACATCTTGTAGAACAAATGAGTTCCATAGCAATCCATCGTTTTGATTTACTATCAATCGTATATAAGGGAGCGAATCCAAAATGGTTACCCCCTCCTTAGCTGTGCCGAAGGCGAACTTCCCCCCCCCCCCATATGCGACTGACCCACTATCCACTCGACAACATGAGCTGCATTACTCAAACCTGTGATTGCTCCTTGCGGTTCTTTCAGATTTATGATCAGACCCGCCCTAGCATGATTAGTGAATTCTAGAGATTTCATTTGTCTTAATCAACTGAACTGATGCACTCTGTCATTTTACATTGATTGTACCTTGATTGTTATTGAATTATCATCCCTTCCCTGTCCTAGACCGATGCAGTCTCCATCAACTTTTTACTATGGAGCTAGTTATACATCCGTAGTGTATCCATCGCAATCAGCTCGTAGCTAGTCTTCCACACATTCAGAAATACACTAGACAACTATTTCCTCCTATTGGAACCCATAAGTTGTGCACATTCTCCGGAACCACCAGCAAACGATCCCATGACCCTTCGGCATTAGCGACATAATCCGCTATGCCACAGGCAACAGCTGTAGACCGGTATGGTTTAGAAGCCTACTAGGTACAGCGCTGCTCATCCGTTGTTGTTGTTGTTGTTGTTGTTGTTGTTGTTGTTGTTGTTGTTGTTGTTGTTGTTGTTGTTGTTGTTGTTGTTGTTGTTGTTGTTGTTGTTGTTGTTGTTGAAAGAGCATGGGCCCTGTCATCACTGGAGCCGGAGGATGCGCATTACAATAGCGTTAAGGATGCTAATGATATCCCTCGGTTTCGCGAGACACGATCCACCGTGCTTATTTCAGTCACTATGTACAGATTTCATGCAAAATTGTTCGAGTTAGATCATTTTCCAATACCGAGAAATTTCGATTCAGTTTGCTTCCGGACAACAACCAGATATTTCCCTTGAAATCGCGTGATGTGTTAGTGATAATCATTTCATCACAACGCGGTAACACATCGTTGTCTCGGAAGCCTTAAAGGGCATGAAAGTAATAAATATTAGTGCTTTCTATCTCACAGTGTATAGAGAATTACAAAGAAAAACGCGAACTCGAAAATAACAAGTATTTGTTGATTATAAAGGAGTTCTTGTATACAAATAGTACAATGTATTCTGTTAACCACAGGCTAGTCAACAAAATATACTTCAACAAATCCGTTCTGAAGCTTTTTCGGAAGGATCTTTTGTGGTTAGTCGGCGCTGTACGGATTATTCGGCATGGAAGAATGCAGAACACTAATCTGATAGACTGACGAGGCTTGGAACCTCGGTGTAGTAGATAATCATGTTAGGAGATCAGCGAAATGTTTAACTAGGGTTTGAGTGTGTCGCTTTTTCCACTAGTGGATCATAAAACCATAGAAAACTGAAGTGAAGCTTTGAGGGGCAAGTTGTATTGCAGTGGTTTTGAGAGTACCTGGGTTTCCGACCCACTGTTGCGTTACATGCAATATACTCACATCGCTACCTTTCTAATCTAAATGTTTAGTTCCTTTCGCCACTAATTCTATGAACATATGCACCAGTTGCCGGTCGAAAAGGAGCATTACTCACTACGTTTGGAACCACTCTCTTGTTTTTATTTCCAGCGCAAACGACCTCTTTGCCGTCGACGTTCGACTCGCGATAAAACGCATCACATTGATCGTAAAATTCGCCACTTGGACTCCTCAAAGTTAGAACATCGGCACAGCCAATCTGCCGATGGTGATCACGGGAACCGAGCCCCTATTAACCTCTCTGTGCTCCATGACAGCGAATCCGAGCTAGATGCAGACGGTCCGGAGGTAAGTACCCCGAGTTACTTTGAGCGCAGGTGTTTGGCGTTTCCAGATTGACTATTTTTGCCCCGTTATTCCTTGTAGGATTGGCGCTCTGAACTGCAGGTTTGCTCACGGATGCGGCATCGATACCTGTCACGTTCTCCCTTCCGGTCTGTGTCTCCAGCTATCCATTCTGATCCTGAACCCATATTGGATTGGTGGCAATCTGAGGAGACGGAAACCTGTGATTTTCGGGGGTTGTCTACCTGTTCCGAGCGATGTTATTATACGAACGCGGAGAGAACTCGAGCTTCACGACTGGCTGATAGCTTTTGCAAGGAGTCACGGACATATTCCAAACTTCTCGGTAACACTCATAGCAGTCGAAGTGACCGTTTGTTCGACACGGATAGCGAAGACGAACTCACTGACCACGAGGTAGAACAAGATGATGATGACGACCAAGATGGGTTGTCAGTTGATGGGGAATCCGATAGCGACGATAAAGTCGATGATTTAACGAGTGGATGCTGGTCACCGCTTCGCGAATTCATGTGATATTCATCGCACTCCAGTTTTTCCCTATTGTATATATGTTTAACCATGAATTCCTTCACTTTCCCCGACAAAGATTTATAAAAAATTACGTTTGTACTTGACGAGTCGCTCAGGTTTCTGCACGCTTACTTAATATTAGTCGGGATGCAAAAGTGATCAACGCGGCCATCCTTCTCGCTCAAGTTAATTACCTAATGAAACAGTGAATGTGCATTTACTATATAGCTTCTCACTGTCGATTGTTGTTTCTGGTCTACGCTTGGCGACAGCGTGAGAGCGAAGTGCGTGGCAGTATTTCTAGTCATTTAGTGGTCGCAAGTTGTGCTCTCTTGACATTATCATCACTGTCTCGATACGCTGCAACTTAGCTATGGGATGCGCGCAGATCAAATCTTGGAAAGTGATGTGTCTAGTCACACCGTTTTCCACCTCGATTCGCAAAAACACGTTGGCAAGCGCTTGGGGGAGGACATACCGATTCGATTATCGCTGCTTTATCATTCTAACTGTGAAAGATTATCAGCTGAAATTCCATTATACAAAAACTTGGAAAATGTAGATCGTACAAGGTTTCCTGGTTCCCCATTGTTCCCCTGTCAGCCGAAAGCCTGAAACGTGCATGCAGTCTGCCATCGTCTCAGTTCACACGAGAGTGGTTTGTTGCAGATGAAACACCGGCTACCACTGAAGATGACTGATAAACTGAGCACGCAATTCATCGGGGCTACCGGGCGATTTACGTCGGTTTTGGGTGAAATTGGTGTATATCCAGAACGAGTTACTGAAAACATTGATCCCAGAGGTATTTTGAAGTGGGTTATTATAATGCGATCAGTGAGCTGATGGAAATGAATATCGTCCGCGTACAGCAAAAATTCCGAACTCGATTACCTCAATAACCTGACCACCTCTAAGTGGACTGGTCTGTTCATCGTTTGAACGTCCACCATGTAAACCAGCTGGATCCGGGCCTCAGTATGTTGACCACTGGTCCAGTCTCTTAATTCGTCAATTTACGGAGGTTTTGCTGTATATAGTGGGAAATGCGCTGGCAAGATCCGTATGCAGTGAGCGAAGGGGGCTTACTTAAGAAAGCCTTATGTGGGCTACTTATAAACTATAAAACCGACGATGAGATCGGGAAAGAACCATCACCAGTTGCACGAGTGCCCTTTTGTTCTTTTCGATAGTGTATGACGGGATAAGAAGCATAACTTGACAAGATTCACAGGATGGATATGCAAACTAATATTAAAATCGAAAAATGTTTCAACTTCGAACGTGAATTATCAATAGTTTAGACACCTAACTGTATCACACCGTCGTGTAGCGTTGATCACAAACGATAAAAGTCTAATATTCTTTCAAACGTCGCGATGTCTGCTGTGTTAACCACATGTATTGGTAATGCATTCAAGTGGGCACAGATTCTGCGCGAGTAAGACTATTTTCTACAATCCAACCGGAGTGTTGCGTCATTAGTTTCAGGTGGCTGCCGCGCATTGTTTGTAATGGGCTAAGGTCAACAGTGCTGTACATGGATGTTCGCTTTCATGTAGTGTCTGGTATGTGAGAATGAGGTCTCTGCGAAGCCGTCGGTGTTCTGAGGAGAACACACCGAGTACACGAAGACCCAGTTCGCAACTTAGACTGGATAGTTCACGCGTTGACTTTGTGGCTCTTGTTTGAGGTTGTTCCATTAGACGAATGTCTCATTTTAATCATGGACACCAGGCATGAATTGCATATTCAACGTGCGAGCGAATATAGGAGTTGATCAGCATTGGTACTAGCAGTCACTCAAAGGTGCCGAGAGCTCGCCTCAAAAGCCTCAAGTTCAAGTTCACCACACCTGCTGCTTTCGAACATTGGAGCGAATTGCCATGACTTTCTTGCACGATTATACCTATGTCGCGTTCACCGGTCACGTGTTGTCCCAAAAGATACGTGTTGACGAAGCTGCTGCGCACTGTCAGCACGTGGCACTTTGCAGGGTTCAGTGGGAGCTGGTTTCTTTCTGCCCATTCGTTAATCCCCGGCAGATCTTCCTGGAGGTACACACGGTCGGATGCTGAGCGAATTGCCCTCCATATTTTAGCATCATCTGCAAATATTTGCATCGGAGACAGAATGTCTGCCGGAAGCTGATTAATGTAGGCTAAAAACGGTAGCGGGCCGAGGACGGATCCTTGTGGTACACCACTGGAGACGCACAGCTGATGGGGTAGAAGTGACGCTGGATAAGCCGACAACATTTTTTAGAAGTTGACAAGACGAAGGTGTTGAGGTATTTGTAGCCACTGAGCCAAACTGCAGGAGTGGAGCGTTCACGGCATCCACAGCAGTTGTTGTTAAACCACTGACCGTCTTGTGTGGTGGTATTCCAGACGTAACCTTCCTTTTGCTATTCACATAGCAGTATAGCAGTTTGTTGTTACTCGTAGACTGCAGTACCCTGGTCTGCTGCCATTCGTACTTCTAGACCCTAAAGAGGAACGTGGAGTAGTTTTTGGTTCTTTTGTAATTCTGCCATGTGGTATCACGTGGGTTTAGCTTATGTTGCCTCCAAATTTCTTCTATTGCTCCATTTATGTGTTCTGCTTCGGTTCCGAGTATTAGCCCTCCGCTATCTTCGTGATGATACGACCTTCAAAGCTGATTGTATGACCCATTTAATTTTATCTTTCAGTTCATTCCATGCGTCATTCGCTGGGCTGTAGGTCCCAGCCAACAATCGTCGCTAAATTGTGAAGCTTGGAATAGTCTGTTATAGTTCGTTGAGTTGCCCATTCTTCATGCATAATACTAGCATAACACAGCCAAACTTGAGGACTGAATGGTCGCTACGGCACAGGGGAGGGTCGTATGGTTCTGACTCAACCATCAACTCTTTATTAGTCAGAATTACTTAGACGTTATGGTTTATTTGGGCCGCGGCATCTGGTTGGTCGATGCACATGGTTATACAGAATTGCCATATCCATGAATCCAAGGAGTTTTGATTTGAATGATGGCTCACTGATGCTATTGAAGGTACATTGAAGTCGCCCATTGTAAGGTAGTGAAAGTACTCCTTTGAACTAATATAGTCGAAAGCGTTTAACAGAATGTTACCGCTGTCTGCGGAGTTCGGTGACCTATAGACAACTGCAAGCATCGCGTCTTCTTTGATCCACCATTTCGACCTGCTAGCAGAATTTGGGAATAACAAGGGTATGTTCGGTAAGGGCCTCACATTTCACGTAATCTCGAAAGTATATAGCAACTTCGCCACCGCGAGGTGGACCATAATTCCGAATGACCGATGTTTCGCTGAGTTTAAGCTCCGGATCTAGGATGTCGTTTGTAAGCCAAGTTTTGTTAACTGCTATGGTGTTCCAACTTGTTGGTTCATGTCGACGGCGCAGTCCCTGGGGCTTAGAACACAGACCTTGGGTGTTGGTATAGCATCATTGTATCTTCTGACCTGTTAGGAGCTCGGTTCGCTGTGTCTGACCGGCATACAGTGCCGGTCTGCTGACGCAATTTGGTACGGGTTTTTGTACACTTGGTTGATCTGAGGTAGGAAAAACCGAGTCTGATTCATTTGTATCTGGGGTCTATACTGCTTGAAGGATTGGTCTTGACCGTACTTCTGGTGACCCAAGCTTCCTGTCGTCATGCTATGCCTGGATCACCATTAATACCATCTCGGGCGTAGCCAAGGTAACTTTTGAAATTTTCGGCCCGCTGCTGTGGTAGTTTGTGGATGCAGCTAGATGGATAACGTCAAAAGCTACGACATTTTGCATGTCGTAGAGCTCTGTTACGTACCTCCATTCTCCGATGTCGTGCTTTTGTCATTCACTGTTATCGACATGCTTAAATTCTGACACCATGAACCGGCACCACTTTCTTCATCTCATTTTGACATGACGCGCTCGGGTTGGATTTCCGCTTTTTCATTCTGCCCATGGTTTTCCGGAAAAATACCGGCACTGGAAGATGTGACTTGCTAAGAGAACACCTTCCAGATCGCAGGTGTTGTCATTTGTTACTCGCAGTAACCGAGGTTCCCCTACGTGTGATGATGGATTTCATGAAAGGCGTGTAAGACTAGTTGGGAGAACCTTCAGTCCAAGTGCGCAGGTTATTTCAACCCAAGGGTTTTGCTCCTCGGTTTGTCTACCTTATAGCGGTTCGCTAGTGGGTTCTGGAACGTTTGGATATATCACTGTCATCGCCTTTTGTTTTCCTAGTAACTTTATTCTGCGGTTCCTTGTGAACGGGGATTTGTCGTGTGGAAGTGATTATCTTGTCTGGTGTGGAAGACAGGCTAAGACTACAGCAAGACTGTTTATGCGCAATGCCGTTAGTCACGCTGTCTGTATGAGTTAAGTGTCGTTACCCAGCTAATAACGGAGGTTATCGCACATTTCGTGCGTAACTCTGCATGCCTTGCTGTTTGTCACCAATTGTGTTCGTTCTTCGCTAGACTATGAGGCATTTTTGTTACAGAGTCTTTCTCTGTTAACAGGTCTTGGATTGGGTCTACGTACTGCACTAACCTGCAACTCGAGTTTAACTAGTTTCTTTTTCAAGATCGCGACCAGTTTCTTTTGTTCTGCTAACATAGTAACTAACGTTTCACACCTCACCATAATCGTTTGAACAATCCTATGGGACTATCTGGACATGCGTCACAGAACCAGGGACTTTGTCGATAGGCTGCTCTTTCCGTTATTTTTTAAGTTCACGTTTGTTGTGTCAGGAATTGGCACAGGACGAGCACGTGATTTCTGAGACCACCTCTGTTGCCCGCTTGTCTGAGCTACGATTGATCTTCGCTTTGCTATTCACCAGGTGTCCGGCTGACAAAGTTGTCCGACCCATGTATCGAAGGTTTGTGTGCGCTTTTGGGTCACGCCGCTCACACCCTTTGGGTTGCCTCAGTTGTCTAGTCAGCGGGAACTGTCGTGTCAGAGGACTTTGTAGTCGTGCGTACTTGGCACACGGGTGGACAAAATCACATAAGCTTTGTGCGGTAAAATGCACGTAGCAATGCAGTGTTACATGTGAGACGACAAAATAGGCTGCAGCTGCGGTATACAGTGGTACA